TAGGTAAAAATTCTTTCAGAGATGTTCCGAATGTACGGGAACGTAAAACGTTTTTTTGTGACTGTCGAGTGTCTCCCAGTGTCGGGATGTTCCGTTCTATGAAACAGGCATTTAAGTCTCGTATGGATGTTAGAAAAAATAAAGGCTAGAGGATAACCATTTTTTAACAGGTTGTCAATTGCTAAAATAAAGTTCTTCTGGTGGAAAGTGGGATCTGAAAGGAATATAATTTTGTCTACAATTCCATAAATAACACCTTTTTTGTGAGATACCGGATGTTGTGAGTTAATTATATGAGCCAGAGTAATATATTATATTATTAATTTTTATTATTACAATTATTATTAAATATTAATATATAGTATTAATATAATATTTTAATAAAATTGATTAAATTGCCAAAATTAAATATTTTACAATTATACATGTATTAATGAAATAAAAATTTTTAATATTAGTTTTTTTATAATTTTTTAATGTAATTTAATTTAAATCAATAAAAAATACAATTACATGAAAATTATTTAACTTAAAATAACTCATAATTAAGATTGTCACTTTATTATTGTCAATATTCAAGACAAATTTTATAAATTGTTTTATTATTACGTTCGAATTACGTATCTGTGTGTTTATTTAGCATAATTCTCATGTTACTTTATAAATCAATTTATTTATTGTATTGTAAATAATAGTCAAATATTGTTAAACAATACTATACAAATTTTTATTTGATTTATTTTTATAGTTAATAAGTTATTATTCCTTTTTGTAAAATGTTAATAGATTTTTTAAATTATTTGTTTCAGACTGCACATTTACAAAATATTATTTGTGCGGCTCTGGAGGTTGCTTGTGGAAGAGGAAGAAAGGGAGGAAGAGGAAGAGGAAGAGCAGGAAGAATCATGGGAAAAAACAGTGGTGCGGGTAGAGGTGGGGGTTGAGGTAGGGGAACTGTTATAAGGGGAAAGGGGGAGGGAATAAATGTTATTTTTTATAACAAATAATACTTTTATACTTTTATAACTAATAATACTTTTATAATTTTATTACAAGTCTACATAAATGTATTTTTTTCTATACAATAAAATAAAACGATGTAAAAACGTAAAATATTAATGTTTAAAATACTTATGTCTTAAATACTTCATCTTTAAATCCTTAAATATATATACATATCGTATGTATGAATATAAAAGGAACAATTTCTATTGACCTTTTTATTTCTCATAAAAGTATACATATATATACAGGGTGTCTCAGAATAGGTGTGTGACCGCTCATGGGTAGATAGAATGGACTAAACTGAATCGAAAAGTCCTCTACCATTTTGCAAAATTCGCAATCGTTAACGAGATATTAATTTTTGAAGATCAGCGAATAAACGCGTATCCTTCCGCCTACTGCTGAATGCAGGCGCGCGGCGAGATACGATCGCTTCATCGCTGGTAGTTGCTAGCCGGTAGTTGACGAGCAGTGGGGCGGTCGTATCTCGCCGCGTGTCTGCATTCAGCGGTATGGCGGACGGATA